AAAGCACGTCCAAGAGGTCGAAACACTACCTTACAATGGACTCCCTTTCGTGCCAGAAGCATGTTTTTCGAGTCCGGATGTGAGTTGGCCGTCAAGTTTGACGAATTCGTCGATTGTCGATGGATTGAAAGTTACACGAGCTGTGAGGGGTATCGGCACGCTCGAACACTTCCTTTCGTGCCAGAGGGGTGTTTTTCGAGTCTGGGTGTGCGTTGGCCGTCAAGTTTGACGAATTCGTCGATTGTCGATGCACTGCAAGTTACACGAGCTGTAAGGGGTATCGGCACGCTCGAAAAGCACGTCCAAGAGGTCGAAACACTACCTTACAATGGACTCCCTTTCGTGCCAGAAGCATGTTTTTCGAGTCCGGATGTGAGTTGGCCGTCAAGTTTGACGAATTCGTCGATTGTCGATGGATTGAAAGTTACACGAGCTGTGAGGGGTATCGGCACGCTCGAACACTTCCTTTCGTGCCAGAGGGGTGTTTTTCGAGTCTGGGTGTGCGTTGGCCGTCAAGTTTGACGAATTCGTCGATTGTCGATGCACTGCAAGTTACACGATCTATCAGGGGTATCGGCACGCTCGAGTCTCGCAGCCAGTTCACGGCGCACACAAACTCTTGCAATTCACCCGCATTCGTAGGGTAGGGGATCGCACACAGATGTTCAATGCGTTCAGGGTCTTGCTTGACGCCATCACCACTGATGATGCGCACCACTTGGCTTGGTCCGTGAACAGCTTGGTCTTGGCCGGACTCAGCTTGAACACGTACTGGGCCACTCGATCGATGAACGACTCGAGGGCATCCACGTACTCTTCCACTGTACTAATCTGGCGAACCAACAGTTGTCACGTTCGATTTCTTATTGGTAGTATTTTTGTAGTACTTCACCGTTTTTGCTTCTGATTGGTGCAATCGATAGCGTATAATCTCCTCTTGGATTGGTCATTTCCAGGTCCTCTCATTTTGTCGTAGGTTTGATGCTACGACATCACAACTGCGGCACGCGAAGAATAAAATATGGTGCTTCACCCGCCAGACTATGAAGACGTCGTTAGATCACACACACTTCGATTCCTGTTGCATTATACATCTCTTTTAAAGCTTCTCGTAGGCGTACAACGCAGTTTGGCGGGTGCGCAGTCCAGTAGCTCCACCAACAATGAGAGAATGGCGATGTCCGCGCCATGCTCTTATTGCTACTAGGGAACTCTTCAAGAGTTCATACTCCGCTGAGTGAACCTATAAATTGAATGCTACATGCCATAACCGGAGGGCCTGTTATGCGGATTATTTGCCGTTTTCACCGTTGGGGATGCAAAAAAGTACTGGTACTTGATTGACGTTTGCTAGTATACGTATAGTAAAACTAGGTGAGCCTGCTGATCTGCCGCCGGTGTTAATTGTCGGTTGGAGCAAGATATGTAGTTGTCGTTGCTACTTATTGTCGTCGTAGTTGAGCCTGGCATAGTTTTCAGACATCTTCTGTTTGTAGTATGCGTTTTCAAGACTCTCCTATCTGCGGTATAACGGGGTCCGGTATTTTTCGAGAAGATGGGAATCAGTGCATTTGCGGTGTGGTCCACTGAAAGTAGTGTAGGCTGCGGTAGAAACCTTGCAGCTATGCTAAGACTAAGCCGTGCATCTAAACTCACCAACGCTGTGGTCTTTGACGCGTGGCGTGTTGAACATCGAATAGCGCTGCCGTTTGACACGTGATGTGTATATCAGAATGCATGTCGGTGCCAACTTGCGGTTTTGTCCAATCGCCTCGCAAATTATCTCGTGACATGTTGGTCAGAACACAGTCGGCACCATCTCGTGGACACTCTAGCTCCGTCGATTGACTCGTGATATGTTGGTCAGAGTGCAGTCGATCCATCTTGCAGGCACTATCGCTGTGTTGGATGTGGTGAACATTACTTCCGTATACACTTCAGAAGGTGTTCGTCATTCAAATAGCAGTTTTTTCGAACTATCGCCGTGTTGTGTGGCATCACATGAGGAAAATAATTCGGTAGAAAGTTGGTGTGCACGATGATTTTCTTCACTGAATACAGCAAGGGTTTCGGACCTGCACATATTTCTATTGAACAACGTGACGAACAACACGTCCGTCAACACACTTTGGACGGTGGGTGCATTATTACCGCGACGTTGTGTGGCACGAAATAACGAATAACATGTCCAGGGACACTTGATGTGAAGGTCAATGTGCTTCGTGGAAACAACAAGGGTTTCCCACCTACGCTACGGTGAAAAAACGATGCAGGCAATCTTCGCATGCCAGTGTTGGGTAGATATTGAAAATAGCTTGGGTTTCGTACATTTTCTAAATTTTATGGTGGTTGATGATACGATAGGGGAAATATGGTATCGTAACGTATGATGCAGAATAGTTTGTTCGCTACAAAAAGCAGATTGTGCTCATGACTGTCATGTGAATTGATGTGTGCACGATATTTAGAAAGAGTGAATTCCGTGTTATGGGGTATTTAGTTTTCGTCGTTGGCAAAAATGGAGCGGTACATGACGTTCTGGGTGTAGAATCCTTCAAATCCGGGGATCTTGCCGTCCCGCACTAATACAGAGATTTGAAGACTCGCTTGTTGTCAAATGTGCCGCTCATGATAGTTGCCTCGATGCACTTGGTTGACACTTTGACGACCCGCAATCTTGTCCCGTTGCATAGGCCCTGGGAGGGGAAAATGATGCGCAAAAGCATGACTGGGCATCCCACCTTGAACTCGAGCTTGTGCGGTGGTAAGCCGAATATGTTGATGGAATTCAGGAACTCGGAGGGAAATTCCATGGCCGTGTCGTCAACATCCTCGCCGTCTTGCTCGACTGAATCGACTGAGAGGCAAGTGAACATGGCAGAACTGTTAATCTTGCGCAGCACTTTGGCGTTGTATTCATCGACCCCGACGTTCTTGGGTGCCAAAATCGCTCGCTCAGACATGTACTCCGGGGGGTTAGTCGAGTAATTGATGTCGCCATAGATTTGGTTGATGTACGACGGTGGCTACGAAGGACCTGTGCTCGTCAGTCATGGTCGCAGAAGTGGCCAACACGCCGTTGAGGGCTGCACGCGTGTAAGGCGTTTCAATGACATAAAGCCGACTACTTGGATCGTCCAGTAGGTGCCGTTCGCCCAAGTCTCGGAATACTTCGAATTCGTGGAGTTGAGGTAACGTCAGGTAGTCCAAAAGGCTCATCCGATGATGTTGGAAGCAGTTGTTGATGCTCTTGAGTATGTAGAACATCGCCTTGCCAAGCATCATGTCTTCACGGAGCTGTTCTGGGAGAGCTTCGTTGCAGAGGCGCAGGTCCCGAAGCCGCTTGTCCATGACATCGGCTTTGAATTTGTCAAACAGAGCTCGCGTGTTCGCTGGCAGGCAATGCACCAAGATGTTGGCAAGCAGTTCATGCAGCTGTCCTTCCATGCAGTCCAACGTGGCAATGTCGACTACATACCACATACTCTTCGTCGTTTTCCAACTGGCCCATGGACATTGCAGCTTCTTCGTACGTTGGATACAGAGTTCCGTGAACTGTGCGCAGATCTTCGAAGGACGTTGGTCCATACTTATAGTAAAGCAGGGTTCGAATGTAGAACCGCTCCTTTTGACGCGGACTGACCGAATCAATGCAACCAATGGTCTTGATGTGGTTCATGCGTCCAACCCACAACTTGGTCTTTTGGTCAAACCGGAAGTACTGCGGGGAGTCCAAGTATAGGCAGTTCTTTGCAGGAACGCCGCCGATCCAGGTCAAGCCTCCCGCGCAAGCGAGGAAGAAGGAGATCAACTTGGTCTTTTGGTTCCTGGCAACGACCATTCTGCGTCGTGGGTTTCGTCGTAGGTGCAATGCTGTTGATCTTTCTCGTATACGGGTAATACTTCGACAGCGTGGGACATCCTTTCCAGGTCGTAGCAGCGGATGTGTGTGATAGCTTCGAGGGATGTCACATAGCGTCCTTCAACGTACTCCCGTGCTTCGTCAAGCATGGTCTGGCGTTCCTGGTCGGTGAAAACAGCGTACGTGATCTGATCGCTGTCCTTGAACACGTACTTGTACAGATACTGACGGCATTGATGCTTGTGCAAACCTCGACGTTGATGTGGCACTTGTACTTGTGCACCAAGTACGGGTTGTGTGGCACATAGTACTCGTATGTGGCCGTGTCGCGACGGTACTTGGCATATCCATCAACCCCCTCGGTTGGGGTAGCTTGCAGGGGCTGCGGAAAGCCTTTCTTGCACTTGCCAGTCTTGTGGGTGCAAGCCCTCGCACTTGGAATCGGCTGTCCATTGTCGTCGTATTGCACATGTGTGCACGTATGGGTCATGAAGTTCTTCACTGACTCGTGCAGCTGGGGGTTCTTGATCTCATCTGGGATGCGCGCGGATACCACAGAGTTGAAGTCATCGACGGTCCTGAACTTGTCTTGGTCTTCCATGATGAGGAGAATGTGCGCATGCGGCAAGCCACGCTTTGAAACTCTTCAACACGCACGGATGCGACAACCTTGCCAAGGACGTGTTGTCACGGGGTGAAAGGAAGCAACTTGCCTACGGCGTTTCCCGGGAACAGTCGTATCTCTTGTTACCGGATCATCATCCCACTGTAACTCTGGGACTAATCTGTGTCGAATCCGTTACTCCCGGAACCAGCAATAGCCAGATCCCCGAACTTCCCGCAGTGTTCTGGTGACTCTTTGAACATCGGAAAGACGCCTCCACTTAGATAGCTAACCTTGACTTTTACTTTTGACATGCACTACACTTTTGTGTCTTTCTCGCTCGCTCGCGCCGCGCCTACCTTCGTCAAATAGTAACCTTGACTTTTACTTTTGACTTGCACTACACTTTTGTGTCTTTCTCTCTCGCTCGCGCCGCGCCTACCTTCGTCAAATAGTTACCAAACCCCGTGACATTCTGGTGGAGCAGCAGGGTGGGCGTTTGCAAAAGGAGCGAAAACAAAGAAAGTGAGGAAGATGTCAACGGACGAACAACCAACTTCGACGATACGCCAGTCGCGGCGCCTCGTGGGAGTTGCCCCGGAATACGGGCTACTGGACAAAAGACGCTTGACGCGCCAGTCCTCGACCCCAGAACCTGCGCAACTAGACGATCACGTCGAGCTGCCTACGTTGAAGCGAGGAGCCGAAGGCTCTCCCCTGGTATCGCCGTCGACGAACAGCCCCGACTCGCGTCCCCCGCCGAAGAAACCAGCACTGCCCCCGGGTGCTGACTTGACTCCTGAGCCTTTGTCACCCCATGCCAGGATTGGTATCGATGGTTGGAACTCCCTTGACAAAACACCAGTAAGCCTATTGGAACCTAGTCCAGCTACCGGAAACACCCCCATGGTCCAAGGGACGCCCGGCAGCATGGTTCCAAGAACGCTTACGCCTACCTGGGACGATCCCGGTGTACCTCGAAATGTTGTTGTCACGACGATCTCAGTTGCCAGTGGAGGCGTACGCGATAGCCACAACGCTTATGCCGAATTCACACGCAATCAATAAACAGGAACTGAAAGCTTTGCGCTTCTTTCAGAAAGCCCATGAAGACCGATCTCGGCTGCTGGACGACCGGGAGACTCGACTCGTGGAAATGGCCGAATCAGCGGCGCAGGCGGCTGAAGCCCATGAAAACTACCGGCAGGAGCAGTTCAAGGAGGCTTTGGGATACCTCCAGGAATGCTACCAACGAGAACTGGACCTCGCTAGGTGTGTGGTCGGAAACGAAGCAAACGAAACCTTGGGTCAGGAGATTGAGAAGCAACAAGCTATGTGGGAGGCCCGGATGCTACGCTTCCAGGAGAACCTGGAACTCACTTGGGATAAGGAAAGGTCCTTACTCCTCCAGGACAAGGAAGTCTCGTTGCTCGCTTTGAAGAACCAACACACGGACGAACTTCTACGAGTGTCGACGGAAGCGGAACACACTATCGAGGTCCGACGCATGGAAGACGGAGTAATCCTTAACCAACTACAAGAAGAGCTTCGTTCTGCGAAGCACAACCACACCCACGAAATCCAGGCCCTCGTGGAAAAAGCCCGTCGAAGCCGCGAGGCCCAGGAAACTACCTTGGATAAGTTGCGTTCTTAACAAAACCAAGAGCTGATATCTCTACGGTCAGAACTACGGTCGAGGCAACTAGAACTCGACGCCTCCCAGTACCCCTCGGCACGTGAGCCTTCGGAACGGATCTGTGGGAACTACCCCATCTTGGAGCAGGAGAAGTGCATCCTCACGGAAAGACTCCGACTTCAGGAAGAACAACTCCGCGAGACTGATCGGCAGAGGGAACGTTTCGAACAACTCTGGGAAAAGGGGCGTCGTCAGCTCCAGGAGTCCGAACAACGTACGCTGGTCTCATACGAGGCTCTGAGGCCGTGTTTGGAGCAAAAATGGATTCTGACTCCAGAATCCGGATTATGATTATGATAATCTAGGTTTTTGAATCCGGATTATGTCAAAAAGTTGCACCGAACACGATTGGAACTCTGCCACCCAAATGCCGAAAATTTACAAGAATACTGGTATTCTATTGGCCACACCCTGGTCATTGGATCTATATCATTGGTCTACATTGGTTTTTGCTCCTTTTCATTGGTTCCACTATCTATGACTGCACTTTTTAGGCATTTGACAGTCAGGTAAAACGAAATACAATTTGCTATTTTGAATTATTCAAGTATTCTGACCGAAATGTTGCAGCACGTCATGCACGAAAATCGGCCATGTAGACGCTTTCTTGGCGGCGATTGCGCCGGGTTTACAGAATACGACGCGTTTCGCTGCAAGCGTAGTGCGCGATTATAGCGTGATCATAGACGAAGAAGTACGTGTAGCTACATATCATATAACTTTACTGGAGGGCAAGATATCCACTTCACCATTCAAGGTCTATTCGATGGTGCAGAGACTTCGTAGCGGGTTTTGACCAACACATTGAGTTGTACAAGGAGAGATACAAGTAGCTTGGTACCGACTTCTACAAGGATGAGATTCAAGTAACTGCGTGTGTCTAAGTTTACGTAGCTTTTGTCAGTTGCATACACATCAGTTGTTGACTCAGCGAGTGCGGAGCCCATTCTGCGCTGCAGGAACATAATTCATCTCCCACGAAGATGAATACGGTCTTATATGTTAACTAGTTAAATGGTTGACGAAGAAGCACCATGCGATGGACCACTTGATCACATGTGGTCACGGCTGCGATGTTCCTTTCATCGTTGTCAGTACTCGGAGAATAAATATAACACCCCGAAACCCCAGAAACCCCAAACTCCGTCTGAAAAACAGAATACCAATCAATCCCTCCAAGAAACCATCAAAATCGATGGCTTCCAGAATCCGGATTCTTGCACAAGAATCCGGTTTTTATTTTTGTCAATCGAACACAAAAAATTGGATTCCAGAGTCTGAATCCACGAAATAACCGGATTCTTGGTGCGTCCGAACACGGCCTGAACGAAGCCCAGGCCCGGTTTCAGGAAAGTGAAACCCGGTGGACTCAACTCCAAGAAAAACTCCTACAAGTTTACACTCGGTACGAACAGGAGCTACAAGAGGAGCAGACCCTACGCGAGGAAATGGAAAGGGGTGCCCAAGAACAACTACTGGCACTAACGTTGGATCGTGACTCGGAGGAACGGCGTGCAGTAACTCAAGAAAGAGAGGAGCTTATGAAGTCGCGGGAAGAACACGAAGCAATCCTACAAAAGGTGTCCGACGCTCAGGCACAATTGGGGCTAAACACGACCCTACTGCGGGAAGAAGAGCAAACCCTCCTCAGGGAAAGGGAAGCTTTCTCTCAGGAAGTCAACAAGTCTTACTCGAACCTTCGTCGGCAACAGTCTTCCTTACAAGTGGATCAGCAAACGTTGGCCTTGCAACTTCAGGAAGGCCGACTCCGATCAGGCTCGGTCGGGACTCCCTATGCGACACCCGCCTCTTCCCGGAAAGGCTCCCCTTCGAAGGGATGTCATTGGACTTTCATGACGTCATCAGTACTCGAGGCCCCCTACTCGATGGTGGGTACACCTCAACGGACAATGGACCTTATCCCGGTGTTTATGCAACAAACTGAGGTCGCTACGGAAACCATGTCGATGCCGGTGCCGGCAGGTGTCTACGGCCGTGCTATGGCTTCTCAAAAGCCGTTCATGCCCGAGAGACCAAAGCAACGAGAACCTCCCGAGTACATACCCCAGGACTCGTACGGGATGCGTGGGCACAGTAACCCCAGCACACCTTACTTCACACCGCCCCACGGAGACCACGGCGGGGCATTCGGTGGAGGATCCAGCAACCCTCCCGGTCCTCCTTCGTCGTACCCAGCTCTGGGGGGGCACAACCCTTTCGAACGCACTGGAGGCCGAGGAGATCCCCCCGGATCTCCCGGGGGAGGTGGACCTGGAGGTGGCGGCGATAACCATGGGGGTGGAGGCGCACCCAGGTTTCCGTACGTGCCCCGGCACGATAACAATGGGACCGTCCTTCCCGTTCCGCTTATGCGGACGCACGAAAATACGCACCTAAACTGAAACGAGTGGATAGCGCCATCCCTTTGGAACACTTCCTGAAGAAGTTCGACGCGTTACAAATGGATCACGGGATCACGGACGCTCAACTGGTGGGAATCTTCGATGACCGCCTCAACGAATCCGGTATCCCTCATTTTGCCGACTGGTGGGCCAGACGAGTCCGGGATCATGCCGAGCAGTCTTGGGCTGAGTCCCGGGAGGCTTTCAGGCAAGAATTCATCATGAAAACGATGACGGAGCGACGATTACCGCGGACTCGTACCGCCGAATTGGGGAGACGGTTAAAAATACGCCTACCGCATCGGAGACAACATTCGAAACGCGAATTTCCCGCCCGAAAGTGCCGTGTTCATTTTGCTAAATGAATGTGAAGACCTCATCGTGGCCAGCTGCATCCGGGGGGCCCCGACACTCCCGACAACCATCGAGGCGAGTCTGAAATACTTGAAAGAGAAGGACGTAAACCTCGAGAAACCATTTGAAGGCAACCCCAAGACAGCCACGGTCTCTCCCGGAACCCCTGGGCGCGCTCCCAGGGGCCTGGCCAAACCCAGCGATCCCGACTAACGAAGTCCAGGAGCTTCAAGCCACTGTATCTAAGATGCAGCGTGAAATGACGGCGATGGCTGCTAAACAGAACGCTCGTCAGCAGGAACAAATCTCGGCTTTCCATAACGTGGTAGCCCAGATGGCCCATGAGCAAACCCCGGGGGCGAATAACCCAGTACAACCCAAAATCAGTAACTCCCCAGACGATGAAACGAAGAACGGGGAAGTGATCTGTGGGCGCTGCAACACGAAGGGTCATGGCCGAGACAGATGCCCCCGGCTCAAGTACTACTGCTCTCGCTGTCGGACGGAGGGTCACGCTAATGCAGAATGCGGAATCCCACGACAGGACGGGGCCAGAGTTCCTAGCGGCCGCAGGCACCGGGCAGGCAGTTATGGAAGTGGACGCCGGGGAAATAACGACTGCCATACCTGTGGAAAACCCGGACACTTCAGTTTCGCATGACCCCTTAACAAAGGAAAGTTCAACCCAAAAGTCATCGCAGCCTTGCCCGACATCTTCGACCCAGGGAATGTGATCGACGGAGGCGACGACGATCACGAGGATGAACTACAATGAGGCCGCCTGAGTCGACACCAAGCCGCCGGGAGTGGCGTGGCGTCGAAAGTGACTCCAAAAATGACTCCCGATACTGACAAGAATAAACTGACACTTACCACGACTGTGAGAAGCCGCCCTGGGACCAGGAAACCCATGGTTACGCCCACAACAACAACCAAGACTATGATGCCGCCATTACGCGGGACTTTGGCAGCTCCAAGAGCCCGTGAAGGGGGTACGAAGACCTGGACGGGTGCGCTTATGAAACAAGACTACAAGACCAGGAGTGCCTTATGACCAGAGGAGATCCAAACTCCGTGGACGACATGACTACTGGACGAGACGAATCCCCTACCAACGATGACGACCAAGCTCTCGGTATCTGACGAATTGAATACCTGACCGATGAAGCCCATAATACTCCAGGGCTCCGGCTGGACGCGACCCTGCGGACAAGTTTAACACAACAACCAAATGAAACTTACACCAACACCGAATCACCGCGCTTGCGAGCGATTGACACAGCAAGCGTTAAAGACACGGGAACGAAGTCTGGAGAGCAGCAGCGCCTCACCCCAGTCCCAAAGAAGATTGCCGAAGGGACTGAGGAAGACGCTACGATCCCTTCGTCCCTTACTGACGCGAAAGCTTACACACGGCCTCCCGGTCTAAAGGTCACCGTGCGCTCCCAGAAAACAGCCACCTCGCAGGCCACAACTACTGCAACTACCCCTGGGATTCAGATCTTCAAAAACCGGAGGTCAAAGAGGCTCAGACATCCCGCCACGTCCGGATCGAGTTCGACAACGCCAGGGGTGCCCGCGAACTTGGCTACAACCCCTGGTTACGAAACTGGACCTTCTCCCGGGGTGACTCCCGTCTTCACGGAAGCGCAAATCGAAGCAATCATGCGGGGCGACCTAACGGGCATCCCCGAGGCTCGGCACGTCGATATCGAGGAGCGTCTGTACCCTGTCTCACCAGCAGACCTGGAACGTCAGCTCGTCCGACCCAAACAGGAGAGGAAGGACGTGACTCAGGAGGATATTGTCAAGGTGGTTACAATGGCCCTTCACCGGCCCTTGACACGGAACGACGCGCATCTGTTCGAGTCACCTTTGGACATCGACGACCCAGATCGCTGGCTCAACTGGTTCTCCAGCACCCTGGAAACATGCGACGAGGCCCGGACGGCTAACCGCAACTTCGAAAACGCTCGAGTGGCGATCATTTCCGACACGCGGTGGTCACGTTTCCAGCGAAAAAACCTGGCCTCAAACGATCTACCTGGCTTTGGACCCTTCCCTGAGACCGTTTGCACGCCACCCGAGGGTGACGTCCTACCTATCGGAGGTACTGAAATTCCCCGTCTACCCGCTCGACACCTCGTCAAAGTCCACAGAGCCTTACAGTACCACTTGACCGACGACCAGGCCTCTTTCGCTCTACCATTACGGGACTTGGAGCTCACACGATTACCCTCGGCCATCTGGCGCATCCGTCGCAGGACGCTCTCATCTCGGCACCACTACCTGGACCTCGCCCTCGGGTGCCATCACATTGAAAGCGCCCTCGCCACCCCCGACGGCCGGCCGCAAACCCCGGAGCTCTCTCCCCGGGTGTCGTTGACTCAAACAATCCCCTCGAGGTCGTTCCCCTCGACGTCGAAACCACCTAACTAGGGGCCCCGACTGTCGAATTGCCATTCCTGGACCTAAAGGATGACGAGCTCCTCTCAATGGTAGCACCATTCGCTCGACCAGACCAAAGGGTGTGCCAAGTGGGTTCCAATCCGAATGCCCCGTTGGTTCAGGTCCGCATCCAAACGTCGGACACGCTCGCGTTAGTAGATACAGGAGGACGGTAATTAGCGAGGCGTTCTGGAACGATCTCGGGAGTCCTCCACTCCAAAAATCGGTGTATGGGTTGGTCTCGACATCCAACACGCCTATACGAACGCTGGGTCTCCGGTACTTCAGCATCACCCCTAGCGGAAAAACAAACGACCTTCCCGGTATGGGTTCTGGTCGACTCTGTCAGCCCGTGCATTCTGGAGATTAACCTGTTGCGCAAACTCAAGGCCCTCGTCGACCGCTCGACCAACTGCGTTGGTTTTGGAGATTCTCCCATAATCCTACCGTTCCACACTGACGACGCCCAGGCGACACCAAGAACGGTAGCCCATCTCAAACGTGAGGACCCGCGGGAACCACCGGCACAGAAGGCTCAAGAACCCGCGCCTTCGGCTTCACTACACAACGCGCCGACCAACTGGTCCACTGTCCACCCCACTTCCACGGTCTATGTCAAAAGCAACTCCCGCAGGCTTGTCTTATGCCGCATCTCGTCAGACCTCCCGGAAGGGTGCCCTATATTGGTACATATCACCCGTTCTATCAACATCGTCCGGAAGGAAGGCTTCTGGGTCCAGGTGCGGAACCACTCGGACACGAAATTAGTCATTCGCCCCACAGACGCCATCGGAGTGGTTTCCCACCTCCCGGACCACTACAGGGACCACACGGACGCACCCGCATCGGACATGTCGACCACCCTGTCGCCCCGGAGCGCGACTTCTCTGCATAGGGGAGAGGTGAAGGCACCACAGGAGGCGGAAACACTCTGCGCACTAACCACAGGAGCGCAGGAAACAAGTACGAAACCAGGCAAGGAAGAGATCAAAATTGACTGGAAGGATTCCAGCCTGAGCCTCGAACAGAAAGAACTCCTCCGAAAACTCCTCCTGCGCTTCGACCTCTTCGTCTCGACATCAAAATCCCCGGGAAGGACTGACCTTACCAAATGCCACATCAACACCGGGGATGCGAGCCCGATCAAACTAGCGCCATTCCGAGTGACCCAACGGGAGGGAGAGATCATGGAAGCAGAAATCAAACAGCTCCTGGAGCTTGACTGATCCGACATTCCACAAACCCGTGGGCCAGCCCAGTACTCATGATCTGGAAGCCGGATCGACTACCGACGGCTCAACGACGTCACAATCAAAGATTGTTACCCAATGCCTCAAGTAGATGATCTCTTGGATGATCTGGGCAAATCTTCTTCACAACCATGGAGGTGGCGTCGGGATACTGGAACGTGCGGATGGCTGAAGAAAGTGTCGAGAAGATAGACTTCACCTGCAAGTACGGGCTGTACGAATGGCTAGTCATGCCCTTCGGACTGTGCAACGCGGTGCCGCAGTTCGAAAGACTCATGGAAGGGGTCCTCCAGGAATACTTGTGGCGCATCTGCTTGGTCTACCTAGACGACATCATCATCTTCAGCGAGGACTTTGGCGAACATCTAGTGCGCATATCCCAAGTCCTGACGCGCCTCCAGGATGCCGGGTTCAAACTGAAAGCGTCCAAGTGCCAATGGGGAAGGGATAGGGTCGGATTCCTGGGGCACACTATCACCCCGGGAGGCATCTTACCCAACCCTGAAAAAGTCAAAGCTGTGCTGAGAATCAAACCCCTGAAAAACGTGGCCCAAGTCCGATCCTTCCTGGGACTCGCCGGCTACTTCCGGAGATTCATCAAGGGATACGCCCTACTCTCGCGACCCTTGGAAAAACTTAAGGTGGCTGACGAGTTCGAATGGTCCTCGGAATGTCAAACCGCTCTGGATAATCTGAAGAGAAAGCTGGCCAGCCCCCCAATCCTAGCCTACCCAGACTTCGAACTACCATTCACGGTCTTCGTGGATGCATGTCCCATAGCCCTGGGGGCGGTATTGATGCAAGAACAACGAGGCCGACACCGGGTGATCGCGTATGCTAGCCAAGCCCTGGACGCCTCTCAACAAAAATGGATCAAGAAGAAAGACGGAGTCTCGGAGATCGAATGTTATGGGTTGGTGTGGGCCACGACCAAGTTCAGACCCTACCTCGACCGGAGACACTTCACGGTCTACACGGATCACGCGGCCCTACAAGACCGGATCGAAGTCCGGAAACGGGAAGTTGGCCCGGTGGGCCATGCACCTACAAAGCCTGGATTTCACAGTGGTCCATCGACCTGGAGCACAGATGGGGTGCGCTGATGGCCTGTCACGACTCCCCATAGAGTCCCAGGGCGAACCCTCCCCGAGCGCATACAATTGGGATGCGGAGACCGAAGATTTCTCAACCATGCCCCTGCCGGCAGGGGGTCCCCGAGTGTGCTCAATAGCCTCTGGAGTAGTGGGTGCGGTCACGAGGGGTCAAGCCCGCGCGTCGGAACAACCCCATGGCCCCCCGGAAGCAAAATCGATGAAAAGAGTGAACCCCAAGGACCCAAAAAAACTCCTCAGAACCCCTGACCGTTGCCCCGACGGCGAAACTCCCGTCTCTGAGAGTTTGGAGGATTCCCTAGTCGATGGGGGGCCCGCTCCGGTTGCCGAAGCGGACAGGGAATCGCCACTGAAACTACCTCCGTACCACGATGACACGTACGCTCTGCCCGACCGAGTACTACGTAAGGAACAGGCACGGGATCCGTTCACCATTTCCATGAAGGCGTACCTCGAGGACAAGGCACTTCCCCTGGAAGCGTGGCTCATGAAGGTGGTAACCCGGACGTCCGAGCATTACGAAGTGAAGGACCAAGTACTCTATCGGAGGGTGATCTTGAAGTCCCCAATCAGAAACCCCAGGTTGATTCTAGTACCGGTAATTCCGATCTCGATGACGACCGACGTCCTGGCGCTCTGCCACGACTCCCCATTGTCAGGTCACTTCGGAAGAGAACGGACCTTGGAAAGGGTGCGACGAGTTGGGTACTGGCACCGATGGGGTGAGGACGTCCGGGAGTACTGCATCTGTTGTGTCCGATGTGGCGCCGCCAAGGGCATGAGACCCTGGAAGCAAGGGCGACTGCAGCGGATGCCCGTGTACGGCCTCAGGGGCCCGTTCAGTTTCGTCGTGGTCGACGCGCTCGGCCCCTTACCGACCACCCCCGGAGGGAACAAGTTCATCTAGGTGTTCATGGATTACTTCACGCGTTGGGCAGAGGCTATCCCGGTCCCGGATCTCAAGACCACTACCTTCGTGACCGCGTTGATAGACGACGTGATATGCCGGCATGGGGTCCCGGAAAAGTTGCTGTCGGATCGCGGGTCGAATTTTGTGTCGAAACTCGCCGAAACCCTCTCCAGTCGAGAAAGTGGCTAGTGCCCCCGGACATCGTCAGGGACAGGGGCTGGTGGAACGATTTAACTCCACACTGGCCACAATGCTGAAGATGTACGT